AACACCCAATTAAGACCTATAGGCAATAATAAATCTCCAAGCAAGCACATCATCAACATCAATAATGATAGGGACCTAAAGCGTAAATAATGCTACAAGTCGTAGGGGATAAAACAACTTGTAACTTTTCTATGTCCCATCTCCCATTCACATCAACAAAATCGGTAACCTTTGCTTGAGTATCACATTGATGGGAGGGAATCTGAGCTCTGGACAAAAGAGTTCCTTAAGAGGGAACCCAATCATCCACCCAAAATTTAGTAGAGCAACCATTTCCGACAAGTCTCACCAAACCATTACAAACATTATCCCAATTACTAGTGACCCCCTGCCAGAAATTGGATGCCTTAGCTTTCTTTTCTATCTTGGGAACCTGATCACCACCACACTTATATTTTGATTGAACAATAGATGCCCAAAGATCTGCCTTTTAATGATAAGTTTCCAACCATCTTTAAGGAAGAAAGCTTTGTTGGATGTTCTAGTTGACCTCAAACCAAAGTTACCAACCTCTTTAGGCTTACAAATTTGATCCCAGGCCACATGCAATATGGATTTTCTTAACTCTCTCGTTATCATCCCACACAAAGGGTCGAGATTTCTTGTTAATTGCATCACATATGGATACGGGAATAAGGGCTGATTGTATAATATGAGTTGGCAGTGCTTGTAGAGCTAATTTAGCGAGGGTAACTCTTCCAGCTATAGAAAACATATTGGTCTCTGCCATAAACTTAGTCTTTTGTTCACCTTGTCCGAAAGAAAACTAAAAGTTTGCTTGTTGACTTTATTATGTAGAATTGGAACCCTTAGATATTTACCAAGATCCTAGTGCATTGGAAACCACTTCTACTTTAAATATCATTCCTCACATGTTGGCAAACATTCTTAGAGAGAACAACTTTAAATCCAGTTGTGTGACCTCAACTTGGTTTGGTGTGGCTTTAGCAAACAAAAGAATATCATCAACAAAAGAAGGTAGGAAATAGGAGGGCCCCCTGTTTATTTGAATTGACTTCCACGCTTTTTTGTGAATCGCAAGGTGAACCAAATGAGTTAGGCATTCCAGGCAAAGCACAAAAAGATAGGGAGATATTGGATTGCCTTGCCCCATTCGACAAGTGTTGCTACACTAACATATTAATCGTGAAAGAGAGGACATGCACGCAGTGACGAATCCAGAAATTTTAAATAGCGAGGACAATATTTATATACAAATTTTTAGTAATAAATATATAATTTTATATTTTTTGAAATAAAAATATATTTAATTATTCTCTACCAAATTTCATATTCTTAAAATATTGAATGGTTTTTTCATTTTCAACATCTTCAAAATTATTTTTCTTAATATAAGTAACAAAACAATTATTTAACCATTCATTTCTCTCATTAAAATTTTATCCATTACCTTTTGACTAAGTTTATTTAACTATAATTGACATGACATATCATGTAAACATACATATAAATTTGCTAATTCACAATTATTATATTTTTAAAAAAAGGAGTAAGTTGACAAGTTACATTTAGGTGCATTTTAAAAATATTATTGTTATAACTTGTTAATATACTCTTTTTAAAAGAGATGTATATTAACAAACATATACATTTGATAACTTACATCAATTTATTTTTAAGAAAAATTAAGTTAGCAAGTTACACTCAGATGTATTTTTTTAAAAGAAAAATATACTTCAAAAATAAATATTGATTTTAACTTTTTTTTTACAACATAAAACACAAAAAGTTATGAAATACTTAATTTTTAACATGATAAATAATATATTTTATTATAATATATATTAATGAAATAATTGATATAATAAAATTTAGTAGGGACATTTGTCCCCACTTGATTGAACTTACATTCGTCCTGCATGCACGCATGTAGAGAAATATGTGAAAATCATGTTCCCTTTATATAATTAAAATTTCATTCCATTGTTCAAATTTTGAATAAAATGAATGAATTAATAAATAATAAGTTCATTTTAGAACATACTTATAATCTAGATTTAATAAGAGAAGAACAAATATACTAAATTAAATGTGATAAAATACATGGACAAAATTTGGATGCAATTTCATAGATGTTAATCTACAATTAAGATTAGAGTTTTATCTTGATAATAAAAAATTTATTAAATTTTAACATAGATCGAATTTTTTACTCAAATAATACTATTTAATAAAAAATTACCCAAATAGCAACTGTGCAAATTTATTTTCCCAATTAGCACCATTCACTGTTCACGTTCAGAACGTGCCATTTTGATATCAGAACGGGCCGTTCCAGATTAAAAATAACACATGAAGAATGAACCAAAATGGGCCGTTCTGGATTCAAAATTAGCACATAAAAAGTGGAACTGGAACGGCCCGTTCTGAATCCGGAACGGGCCGTTTTGGCCTAAAAATAAATTTGTTTTGGTTCAATTTTCACTTATCAAATGCCAAAACTCAGAAACTACCATCAAATAATTAAATTTATTGAATATTAACATTATAAATATAACTAAATAAATTTATTAAAATTCAATACAATAATAAAAATCAATGGTGGCGGAAACTGATTATGTTGTTCTCTAATGTCCATCTCTATTTTAATCCTGTTGGACTTTGACCGACCCGCTAGGAAACTTGCCGCAATCACACCATATTACATTTAGTCTTACTGTAAATCTCCTAGCGGGTCATGCGAGCAAGGGATATAAACTTTCTAGAACTTGCCGCAATCATACCACATTTCATTAATTTAGCCATGCTGTAAATCTCCCAGCGGGTCATGCGAGCAAGGGAGATGAACTTTCTGGAACTTGCTGCAATCATACCACATTTCATTTAGCCTTATTGTAAATTTTCCATCGAGTCATGCGAGCAACATAATCAGTTTCCCAGCGGGTCGGCCAAAGTTCAGCAAGATTAAAACAGAGATAGATATTAGAGAACAACATAATTAGTTTCCGCCACCATTGATCTTTATTGCTGTATTAAATTTTAATAAATTTATTTAGTTATATTTATAATGTTAATATTCGATAAATTTAATTATTTGATGTTAGTTTATGAGTTTTAGTATTTGATAAGTGAAAATTGAACCAAATTTTTTTTATGTTTAGGCCAGAACGGCCCGTTCTGGATTCAGAATGGGTCGTTCCGGTTCCACTTTTTATGTGTTAATTTTGAATCCGGAACGACCCATTCTGCCGTCATTCGTCATGTATTATTTTTTAATCTGGAACGGCCCGTTCTGATATCAGAACGTCCCGTTCTGAACGTGAACAATGAATTGTGCTTGTTAGGGAAATAAATTTGCAAAGTTACTATTTCGGTAATTTTTTTTTAAAATAATATTATTTGAGTAAAAAACTCACGTAGATCACCAACATAAAACTCTAATTTTAATTAGAAAATAATACGTACAATATCTATGAAAATTTTTGTCCAAAATACATTTGATTAAATTTCATTTCGTCTTATTTGTAAATCACTCAAACAATTCTATATAATGTTCATTTAATTTAGGTTTACTTCATATGTTTTTCAGCTTATACACAATATTTTCCAAATATTTCACTGTTTCAAACTTCTCATAAACCTTTCATTTTTAATCACATATAATTCTTGAAAAACACAAAAATAATAACGTTTTACGAGAATTGTTAAAAATAGATTCTTTGACATATTATTTTTAACACATTTATTTATATTGGTTAAAATTTATTAGAAATAAAAATTTATGAGTCTCAGATCTTATTAAATGAACTTCTTATGATTTATATTTTTAATAAATCTTAATCATACGAAAAATATATTATCTCCGTCCCACAATGACTCTAGTTTTAACATTTAAAAAATGTCTTAAAATAAACAATGCTATAATTTTCAAACTTAGTATTAATTATTTTTTCCTAATTTACTCCTTTATAAATTATTCAACCACTACAATTAAGTAATGTATTCATTGAAAAATTGAGTTATTTTAATAAAATTGTATAATAAATGATACATTTATTATTTAATATATATGTAGAAACTTTAAAATGTAGTCATTGAAATGGAGGAAGTATTACAGAGTAAAAGAATTCTCTCTATATTTCATTTTATTTGACGTCTAAAGTTTTAACATAACACTTAATAAATATAATTAATATGTTTTTTTTTTTGGTTCGTCCCTGGAGTATCCACCGCCAACAGCAGTGACTAATCTCCTCGCTACGTTGGAGGCACCTCAAAGGGTGGGATAGCTGGCCCCAAGATTTAACGCGGCTGCATACACAATATACTTTTAAACTTTTGGATTTTGACTAATAATTAAATAATACATTAATATTGGTTAAAAGTATAAAAAAATAATAAAAAAAAGTTACATTAACATTGTAAAATGACAATCTAACTCACATAGGCTAAAAATTCTAAAACATCAAACAAAATGGAATGTTGATGACACTGTCATTAGCTTAAATTTATTGAAAATCACAAAATTTTGATAAATTTATATCTCATTTAATGACTTTATCCCCTAATTTAGTGGTAAAAAAATTAAAATTTATTATCATTTTCAATAAATTTCACCGATAATAGAATGTTCTGCATTCATTGAGTATTGTAAACATTTTTCATGCTTCTTAATAAAAGGTCTATTTTTGGCTTGCCTCCCCTCTTATAAACTGCCTCTCTTCCTTTGAAGGAAAGTGTGCCTTCCTATATTAAGAGTTTGAAATATTTTCTAGAAATTTACTGGAAAATGTAGTAACACACTTCCCATGATTTCTAACGTAGCTTTTCAAAAAAAAAAGTTACTGCTTTTGTTGTTCAATTGTATGTAACCCTAAACAAAAAGAGAAACCCAAAATTAAGTGAAACATCAAAACGCCACCCTGTGGTTTACATGTTTTAGATAATGAGGCAAATTTGCCTGACCATTTGCAATTTTTCCAAGACTATAATATGCTCCACTTTGCCATAAACCTGACGCATTATTATTTAACTTTCCCTTCTTTAAATATGTAGTATAGCATTCTCATTAATATTGTAATATTATAATAAGTTATTTTCTATATGTTGAAATTTAAAAATGAAACAAGAAATTTCAGACTACATCTAAAAGACTCAACATCGGATGCAAATAATAACTAAAACAATTCTGACCATCTCGTTGATATAAAAAACCATGGCCAGCTAAAACTGCAATAATTCTCTGATATAAAGAATCGTCCCACTCCCACCGTCTCATAGTCTAACTGTTGAGTTGAGTGATGAGAATCCCAAATTTTATGGAATTGTGAGACCAGAAACTCCTCATTGTTGCATCTTTGACTCATCTTTTTTTAAGTCATCTAATATCCCATGAATCATCCTTTCCTTGTTCGGCATGACAGGGTCAGCAACAAATGAATAGTTCTTTTGAGATTTCGGCATCTCTTTGGAAAGAGTACCCCTATGAGATCTTGGTTTCTCTTTCGAAAGGGTACCCTCTGTTGACTCGGTGGATGAATCAAAAAGATCAGCCAGAAAAATGCCCGAAACGTCAACCATGTCTGACTTCTTAACACTATTATTTCCTTCCTTGTTGCTTTGCATCAACTCCTGACGTTGCAAAAGATAACTTTCTTGTCCATTACATTTTGACTTTCCTTGCTCTTCTGGGTGATTTAAATAAGAGCTGTCTCCTTCAGATTCAGAAGAATCATAATCTGAGACAATGGGTTCATAATGAGGACGCTTTGATGTATCCAGTTCTTTGGCTTTCTGACTTAATTTTGACTCCAGATTACTCTGGTTGTAATTGTTGACAGAAACAGGACCTAATTCCTCCCATGGAGATTCCATATTATTAACTTGGGAAGCTGAACCAGATAATTCACTATCTGAGTTCGAGGCTGCATGATCATTGGTTACTTGAGTTTTGAGATTAAAAGTTTCTCCTTCAGATGCACAAACAGCAGGAAGAGAAGGATAAATATAACTGGACTCTACTTTAACTTCCGGCATTATCCGTAGTAAGAATGCCAACTTTGAGTAACCAAGCTCCTGTAAATCAAGATGATAGCCATACCTATCAACAAACAATCTTGGGAAAGAACTGAAATTATATCCTTCTGGGTGTTCGCTCAATATCTCACTCACAAGTTTCTGACAATCATCTAATATATCATGCCTAAAACTCTCTGAATATGTAGTCTCAGTTGCAGTTGTAGAAACTCTAGTATGAGGAATACTCTGATTGTGTTTCTCCACATTATGTTCCGATGATTTGTCCATCTTGGACTGTGATGCTCTGCTCAGAGAGAGAGAACACAAGTCATTTGCACTATGAGATTGGCACATCAATGAGTTCTGAATTGGTTGAGTTAGCCTAAAAGGAAATATCAGGGAGGGCCTTTCCTCCAACCACTTTTTTTCTGATATTAACGATTCCACCAATTGAAGGATATCTTTTTCAGTGAGAGATCTAAAAACCAGGGGTCCATCCTTTTGTAATTTATGTGCCATATCCTCCCTGATACAAACAAAATGTAGAATAATGTTTTTAAGTAACTCTTAAACAAGTAGCTACATAATGATCATCATAAAATATCAAAATGGTCACACAACTTTCAACAGAAACTGTGATATAATTAATTTGTTGCACTGTTTTCCTATCTTTGGCAGTTGAGGCTCGGATTAGAACAAGGAAATAATGAACATGTAGAGGTAAAAGTTGGTTATTATTCATCAAAATAGGTGAGTTTTTAAAAGATTTGTACAAAATTAGTGTGCACACTTACCTGTTTTTTGACTGGGAAACAATAAATAATCCTTTGAGCGTGAAAATAAAAGATTCCATGTCATTCCAAAAGGAACCACTAGAAAACAACTCAGGTTTTCGAGAACAAATGACATTCTGTTCCAGTTCTGATAACTTGGATTCTTCAAAATCACCAACACTCTGGACTGTCTGGTCTTGTTCAGATGAGTAAGAATCCTCAAAATGACTAACCACCTTGTTCTGTTGAGCACTTGAATCACCAGATTTTGCATTGCCTTTCCAAAATTGCCACAAGCTTCTGATCCTGTCAAAGAATGTTGGACCTTTCTGATAAGTTTCATCACTTCCAACAGGTTTTTTATCATCCAGAGAGTCATCAACTGTTAAAGAATATGGGCTGTGACAAACTTCATCAACCTCCTTTCTAGTTGGGTTCTCATATTCATTCGTTGCACTAAAAATTCCAGACTCATAATTTGCAGTACTAATGTCTTCCACTGCTATCTGATTATTTCCAGCAGAATGATTCCTTGAAGTCATGTATTTTACCTGAACTTTATGACTTGCATCTTCAGGCCCAATAACGTCATCATCAGATGAGTTTTTAGAACTGACTTTTAAGAAATCTGGCTTAGTTTTGGGAACTTGGTTGTCCTTGAGTTGTGATTGAATATTTGACAGTTGTTCAGTAGTCATATCTACAACCTTCCCACTACACACAGAAGATTTCTGCAACTCATTTGGAGGCTGAGGTGCACTTCTTTCAACCAATGAAAGTGATGATTTAGCATCTACATATTCTCCCATGTGTTTGACTTGTGAAGTGACCAGTTGGAATGAATTAGAATCCTCATCCATACTCCTTTCATGAGATGAGGCAGTTAACGGTGTCTCATATGCTTCTCTAATCTTATTTTTATCCTCACCATTTAGCTTTGGAGTTGCTGTAGATCCCTTCTCATCAATCTGAATAGCAGATAATACTGATTCTACAGCAGTTCCAGGGGATTCTGTGGGGACCAGACATACATGAAATTTACCTTCACGTAAATTCTTGAGTTTTACATGTGGCATTGATAATAGTAAGCGAGAAAATGTTTTATGTCCACAAAAGCTTCTACTGAAAGACACCTTACGTTTCTTCAATTCTGCACGAAGATCTACAATTGACATACCTTCTGGATGTGATCTCAATATATGCCAAATCTGTCTTTCAACTTCTTTTGGATCATTGTGTAAATCTAAGGAATGTTCATATATTTCCACTTTTTGTGAAGATGTGGACTGCTCATCAGCTGAGAACGGTTTTTCAAGAGCCACCTTATAATTTCCATACCAAGAACCAAGTAAACCATCAGGAGGATGGTTAAAATGTTTTCCAGAAAGATATTCCCCCTTTAATAATAAAGACCATTGCCATATTATAGTTGCTGCACTGCATAGAACTTCAGGAGCATTCTCCGATCTAGCAAGCAATATATTGTAATTACTCATTCTTAAACGGTGTAACATTCCTGCAAAGTCTCCATCACCAGATATCAGAAAGAGATGTGCAGGCGGAGGATTTTGAGTAACCCAATCCATAAGATCAACAAGAAGAAACCTATCGGCGCTGTTCTTTCCACCTGCAACAAAATACTTAAAAGATAATAAAATTTGAAAAGCTAAAGATGTATATGAATGAAACATAGAAGTACGAAGCCATATGGACTACGGATCACAAACACTTAAAATGATTTTCTGATTAACGAATTTTCACCAGAATATGTGAATCAAGCCCTACAACTACAACAAACGAAAACAATAATTCAAAACTGCAACCAGACAGACACACAGAAGCGAATATATTTCACCTTACTCTTTAGATTTTAGGATAGAGGCAGTTAAAAAACTAATTTTACTTATTTTTCAGAAAGTGAATTAAGAGTCCAACTCAACTTTACGAAACTTGCTTGTATAAAAAAAATTATTCCTCATTTATATATACTATTATAGTGATATCTCTATTTGATGTAAGAACTTTAACACAGTCTCATAATAAGTGGTCTGACAAGGCCAACAACAATCAATGTTCATTAAGTTAGGCTCTAATTTGCTCCAATAGTATCTTAAGATGGTTTATGAGTGAAACTCAACTTTACAAAGGTGAGAATTACTGGCACTTGTTATGGGCATATCTTTAGTCTCTCCGGCACTTATCTCTAACCTTTGGTTGGAAGTAAATTAAAAAAAAGGTAAATAATAATTGTAGATTTAAGTAAAATAAAGGGTGAAAGAGTAGAGACTAGAGAGAACCAGGAATATGGGTGAAATGAATGCCGGTGTGAGCAAGTGCGAGCTGGTTGGGTCTGGACAATTGCAGAACATCGCCGAAAGCATTGATTCGAAGAGGTCCCTTAATCCCATGGGCTCTGACAGCCTTGGTGATTGCTGGGGCCACATCCATGGCATCCATCCCCACCGGCACCTGGCAGTTCTCGAAATCCCACCACACCGAAACCTTCACATTTCGCGATTCACTGTAACACGATGACCACTGCCGCGCCTGAACCCCAACACCGAGCGCCAATAACTGCTTCTTTCGGAGAACGAGCCTCATCGCCAGATGGAAGGGTTTAGGACAAACTACAACCCTCCCTCATTTTCGATGAACCATTTTCTAAGAAAAGTAAAAATTGAAAATGTTTGGAGAGTATTGTTATTTTTTTTTAGTTCAACTTGCCACATTAATTTATCTTACAATTAAAGAAATTAAAAATTACGAATTGATCGATATTATATAAGTTAATCACTTATACATTGACAATTAATTATAAATATATTTATTTTTAACAATGATATAATACAATTAAAGAATATAATTAGTTGATGGTGTAAAAAAAATTTATATTGACAGTGTATAAGTGATTAACTTTTAATATAATAAATAATTTTGAGAAAATTTAAGAAAGACATGTTTTTAATTATTGTAAAATAAGTAAATGTTGATTTTATTTCTTGTAAAAAAAAATTATTATTTTTTTACACTTTTAAAATTAAAATTAATATTTTTGACCAAGTTTTTTGTCAATTTGGACGTGAGATTTACAAGTTCTATTAGCTTTAATGATGTACCCTTTTTATTGAATACTTTTCCTTCTTTTACCTTTTTTTCTTGAATTAATCATCTATATATTGTTAGTATAAATTTTTTTACACTAGTAACCAATTATATCTTTTAAGAGTTAATCACTTATATACTGCTAGTGTAAATTTTTTTTACACTGACAACCAATTATATTTTTTAATAGTACTATATCAGTTGCTCATTTAATGAAATAAAAATAAAATAAAATAATTTAAAAAATATGATTGGTTGTCAATGTAAAAAACTTTACACTGACAGTATATGAATGATTAACTTATCTTTTAATTATGTCATGTCACGGTTAAAAGTAAATGTATTTACAGTGACATAGTATAATTAAAAGATATAATTAGTTGTTGTATAAAAAATTTTTATAAAAAAACTTTATACTGGTAGGTGATTAACTCTTTTTTCTTCCCTCTCATTTATGTATGAGGCAATGGCCAAAGTCATTGTCATTGTGACGACTCCGAGGAATCCTCCAACGACATCGACTCCTTAGGCGCCTTCGCTGCATCAGCTGCATTGCAGCTATCATCTTCTTAGTAGCAAAAAAGGTTTTCAGGAAGAAGCACCTTATCTACCTTATATAGATCGCAAGGTGCTTATCAGTGTATATAACCCTATTGATGGTGGTGTTAATTTGTCCGATGGAGATGTTCACGACGCCCCCGTAACTAACCACGTTGAGTTCCACTTTCCCAGTGAGGGTTCTCATGGGGTTGGTGACCATGTCCAAGTTGTAGGTGAAGACGAATTCATCGGATCTAGATTCAAGAAAAAAAAAAAAAAAACTGGATCACGATACACTACTAATTATACCCAATCATCCAAGAATTCATCTTTTTAATATATCTAAAACAAATATCATTTATCTATTTTTAAATGAATGTTAAAGATCAAAATTAGTGATTTTAAAATTGAAAATAAAAATTAAAATTAAACAAAAATATTTTATAATGAACAAAAATATTTTTTTTTATAAAGACTAAAATAATGATTTTTAAGCTTTAAAATGTTGAAAAACAAAAGTTTCTTATATAGGAACTAAAATTTAAACTATCATTTTATAGACTAAACATATTTAATTTAAATTAGATTTATAAAAATAATAATTAATTCTGTCAAATTCGATGAACCTCAAGTAAAATCAAATCATTAAATATTTACTAGTAAATTTCCTTTTAGAAAATGAAAACAATTTTAAAAAAATAAACCTTCAATTCATACATACATTTATGATTTTTTTTAAATACAAAAAAAAAAGTAATCCATATTTACTTTAAAAGAAAAGAATAATATTTTTCTTATAATAATTTGTTAATAAGTAGCTGTTGGATCGAGCGCTTACCACTAGGCCAAAAGCTATAGCTTATAGTCAGGGCGCAACTCTTTTTACTTAAGAGCGCAGCAGCCCAAGCGCCATGATTCAACGGTGACTTGGCCCACCTAGCCTACGGTGACTTGGCCCACCTAGCCTCCGCCACGGGACAATTGATGCAACCCGCAACAATCTCCCCCTCAGCAATTGCCTCGCTGGGTATCGAACTCATGACCTTGGCTCTGATACCAATTGTTGGATCGAGCGCTTACCACTAGGCCAAAAGTTATAGCTTATAGTCAGGGCGCAACTCTTTTTACTTAAGAGCGCAGCAGCCCAAGCGCCATGATTCGACAGTAACTTGGCCCACCTAGCCTCCGCCACGAGACAATTGATGCAACCCGCAACAGTAGCTTATTTTTAAAGTCAAATGCAATACTTTTTTATGAGTAAAATGATAGATAAAAAATGACATAACTATTTATTTAGTGGTTAATTAAAATTGAGAAGTATCTAATTTAACTTAAGCTTTTATTTGTTAAATTGAGAACCAATAGGAACCCACAAAAAAAAAATTTCACATGAGTCTATGACATCAAAGGTCTCCTTAGGTTCTGACCACCCAAAGTAGGATTTTATAGTGAAAGAAATATCGAACTTGCGTGATAAGAAACATAAGACAAAATTTTATATTATTTGTGTCAGCACATGATAGATCATATGTAATAATTTGAGTATATGTACAGTTATTGAGAGTAAAATAAATAAGAAGAATCTGAAAACCAAATAAGATTATTCTTTGTATTATTAGCATAGATTTATTATTAGTATATATTAACATATTGAAAAGTAGAATAAATATTTCAAGAAAAAATAAAGTGCTCAAATCAGACTAGTTTAATTTGATTTCAAAATACACAACCCAATATTGAGCTCAATAAAGATCATATCATAATATATTTAACCTGATTTAATTCGATTATCAATACCAATCTAACTTATTTAGTCCGAACTAGGGTCAGCGAGTCTTTAAAACTCGATTCATTTTAAAATGAAATAATGTAAATTATATCAATACTCCATAAAGTTACATGAAATTGCACATAACCCTCTTATCTTTTCAACGTTTACCACAATCTCATTTAAAATGCTTTTGGTTAAATTGTCCTTTTTGATTCTTCAATTTTTTTTAATATGAAATTATGATCCTTTTATTTTAAAAGATATATTTAGTCGCTTAATTTTAAAATATTAAATTCTGATCCTTTTGACAATTTGATATCAGTTAACAGTTAAATTTTAATGTAGACATGTGACATATAACCATTTAATCGAAAACAAATAAAATTGTTCTGGTGCTCTATAGTGATTAGTGAGAAGTAGCGCAAAATTATAATGTTTTATTGCATTCTCAAAAGGTAATTTTTCATTCAATTAATAATTATAACTCTACGTTCTAGCAAAGTGCATTTTACAATAGAGAATCCAAATCCACCGAAAAAAAGAGTCACCCCTATGCCATATCATACAAACATTATTATTCAAATTGACTAATTTAAAAAAGTAGTACAACATTCTCATTAGATGATTTCTACAAGATTTTAAAAGTTAAAAGTTAAACGGGATACTTTAAGCTACAAAATACAAATAATTGAATTATCAATAGTTGCAAATAAAACTTTAACTAAAAAAAGAATTAAGAATTGCGAGTCATCTTAAATTCCTTACCTGACAAAATGGTAGCGGAATTGCCCGTTGACCAGAAAAAGGAGGAAAGAAAACAAGAGGATACAGGCCCTTGAATGAATTAAGCAGATACCGTCTCGTACGGCTCATGCTCCTTTGAAAGTCTTATGACCCATTGACATACTATGTATGATCAGATATCAAGACAGCACGTAAAAAACCAATATTCAACAGTTCCAGTAGTTATATCATAAATGAATATTTAAACACAGAATTTCCATAACTGCAACCTGGAACCAACTGAATCATCCTCAATTTAAATGCCAGTATCATGGCCACCTGAAACTGTAATTCATTTTTCTTTTGTTGGTTTGGATGAAGAGTTTGGACCTTCAGGGTATGTCATATCTAGAACCTGAGACCCAACAATGGTATTGCAATAAGCAAACCAGACCAGGCTGTTAACAGACGAAACTGCAATTCATCGTTATGAAGAACTAATCAACATCTAGTTGTACAGTTCCTATCCGTGTAACCATGAATGATGGGAATCCCAGATTAATGGGATTCTAGGAGACCAGGACCTAGGTAAAGTTCACACAAGGAACTCCTCAGTTTTGCATTTTTGACTTATCTGCTTTCTTGAGGGAGTTGAGGCCATTTAATATCCCATCAACCAGTCTGTCTTTCTCAGGTAACAGTCCTGGGTCAGCAACAAATGAATAGTTCTTCTGAGATTTTTGCCTATAATTCCCTGCAGGGTCTATGGAAAGGGTACCCTGGATAGACTCGGTGGATGAATTTAAAATATCCGCCAAAGTATTCCTCGAGTCACCATAATTGTCCAACTTCGTGACACTATTCTCTCTTTCCTTACTGCTGTGCCACAAATCCAGAGCTTGCCAGAAAGAACTGTCTTGTTCATCACATTTTGGCTTTCCTTGCTTTTCAGATCGAATTAAATAAGAGCAATCTCCTTCAGATTCAGAAAACTCATAATCTGAGACAATAGGTTCATAAACAGGAACCTTTGATGTATTCTGGTTTTTTGACTTTCTGACTTAATTTTGACTCCATATTACTCTGGTGGGAATTGTTGACAGAAGCACGATCTAATTCCTGCCATGGAGATTCCATGTTATCATCTTTTGGTGGTGAATCAGATAATTCACCATCTGAATTTGAGACTGCGTGAACAGAAGTTTCTTTAAAGTTTTCAGTTTTGAGGATAGAAGTTTCCCCATCAGAAGCACTAACAGCATGACTAGAAGGAAAAATATAAGTGGAATCTACTTTAACATCTGGCATTATCTGTAGTAAGGTTGCTAACTTTTTATAACCAAGCTTCTGTAAATTAAGATGATAACCATACCTATCAACAAACAGTCTTGGAAAAGAACTGATACGATATCCCTTTGGGTGTTCCCTCAATATCTCATTTACAAGTTTCTGACAATCTTCTAATATATCATTTCTAGACCTCTCAGTATACTTTATTTCGGAGGCAGTTGTGGAAACTCTAGTATGTGGAATACTCTGATTGTGTTTCTCCACATCATGTTCAAATGACTTTTGCAACTTGGACTGTGACAGTTTGCTCAGAAAGACAGATCTCAAGCCATTTGCACCATGGGATTGATCCATCAATGAGTTCTTCTGAACTGATTGAGTTAACCTAAAGGGAAATGCTTCAGAGGAGATCTCCACCAACCACTTTTTCTCTGCTGTTAACAATTCCACCAATTGAATGATATCTTTTCGAGTGAGAGATCTAAGAACGAGGGGTCCATCATTTTGTAATTTATGTGCCATATCCCCCCTGATTCAAGTAACATGTAGCAGAATGTTATGAAGTTACACTTCCAAAACAATCATCAATTCATTATAAAATAACAATAGGATCACACAATTTTCAGCAGAAATTTTATTATAGAATTAATTTGTTCCATTGTTTTCCTTTCTTTGGTAGCTGTGGTTCAGATTAGAACAAGGAATAAACAAACGTCAAAAGTTGGTTATCAATATCCATAGCAGAAGGGAATTCTTTTTAAAGATCTGTACAAGCCTATCATGCACACTAACCTGCTTTTTGACTGGGAAACAATAAGTGATCCTTTGGGCGTGAAAATAAAAGATTCCAAATCATTCCAAAAGGAGACACTAGAAAACAACTCAGGCTTCCGAGAATGAATAACATTCTGGTCTGGTTCTGATACCTTGGGTTCTTCAAAATGACTAACAGTCTGGTCCATTTCAGATAACTTAGAATCCTCCAAATGACTAACTACCTTGTTCTGATGAGCATCCAAATCATCAAACTTTGCGTTGCTTCTCCAAAATGGCCACCAACTTCTAATCCATCTAAAGAATGTTGGTCTTTTGTTATAAGTTTCAGCAATTCCGTCAACTCTTTTTTCAGACAGATTCTTATCAACTGGTGACGAATATGGGCTGCAACAAACTTCATCAGCCTTAGTTGGATTCTCACATTTGTTCTTTGCTTTAAAATTTCCCAAGTCATAATTTGCAATACCATTGTGTTCCACTGTTGTGTGATCATTTCCAGCACAGTGACTACCTGAAGTGGTATGTTTTTCTACAATTTTATGACTTGCATCCTCAGACTTAAAATTGTCATTGCCAGATGACTTTTTAGATCTAGTTTTTAAGGAACCAATCTTAGTTTTGGAAAATTTGTTTTCCATGGATGGCGGTTGAATCTTAGGTATTTGTGCGTCAGCCACATCCGCAACCTTCTCACTAGCCAGAGAATATTTCTGCAACTCATTTTGGGGCTGAAATTCATGTCTTTCAACCGATGAAGGAAATGATGATTTACCATCCACATATTCTCCAATGGTTTTGCCTTGCGAAGGGACTGGTTGGAATGATTTTGAATCATCATTCATACTCCTTGCACGGAAAGTGGCATTTGAGGGAGTACCATCCGCATATCCCCCTCTCTCCTCATTCTTAACAGAAGATGATGTTAATGGGACAACACTGCTGTCAAAAGGTTCAGGGGACTCTGATGCAAGCAAAAATACTCGAAAATTAGCACTCCCTAAAGGCTGGAGCTGTATGTGTGGAATTGATAATAGAAAACGTGAAAAGCTTCTAAATCCATATAAACTTTTATCCAAATGCTCATCACACTTTGCCAACTCTGCATGAAGATCTGTAATGGAGATCCCTTTTGGATGTGAACTCAATATATGCTTAACTTGCCGTACAAGTGACTTTGAAACTGCACCTGACTTTAAGTCTAAGGAAGGTTCATTGATCTCCACATTCTGTAAAGATGTAGATGGCTCAGCAGCGAGGAATGGGTTTTCAAGTGGCACCTTAAAGTTTCCATACCAAGAACCAAATGGACCATCAGGAGGATGGTTGAAATGTTTTCCAGAAAGGTTTTCTCCCTTAAGCAATGAAGACCATTGCCACATTATAGTTGCTGCACTAAAGAGAACACCAGAAGCCTTCTTTGGACTAGCAAGCAAGATATTGTAATTATTCATTCTTAACCAGTGTAATATGCAGGCAAAACTTCTATCACCAGATATCAGAAATAGATGTGCAGGTGGAGGATTTTGGGATACCCAAAACATGATTTCAACAAGAATGTTGCCACTATTCTTTCCACCTGTAATAAAGTACTTCAAATATTATGATTCAAAAAGCTAAAAAGTAGATGAATGACCATAGTAGAAAGCCCTAGAGCTATACGAGGCATAAATAATAGTTCATGAACTGTAAAACATTTACAGTGATTGTCGAGCTGCACATCCATTTTAAGATTATAAATTGATGAAATTTTATTACTCTAGCAATTATCAAGCCATGCAACAAATAACCAAATAATCAAGCCATGCAACAAATTTTATTACCAGGCACACAAAAGAAGGCAATAGCTTTGATCTTATTCCTGAGTCCTAATTGCCAAACACATTTAGAAAACTACTTTTATTTATAACCTTTCAAATAAAAACTTATCTTCAGCCTTTCAATTCTACACTCTAGCCTGCTCCTTGCACCACCCTCCACCATTTTAAAAACAGATTACCCTAAGCTTCGACACCAGCAAATTTGAATGAGGCAATGGAAAAGACCCAGTATAAGGTCTTAAAAAAAAGGGAAATGAGTGGTGCAATTAAAAGGAGCGAGTAAGGGAAGGGTTTAGAAGGAAAACCTTTAGGAACGTGGGTGAATTGAATGCCGGTGTTAGCGAGTGCGTCCCGGTTGGGCTTGGAGAGCATGAGAACATCGCCGAAAGCGGTAATGTGAAGCGGGCCTTTGATCCCGTTGGCCCTAAGGGCCTTGGTGATTGCGGGGGCAACCTTCGATGGGTCTACGCCGGCGGGAACGTCGCAGTTCTTGAAATCCCACCACACCGAAACCCTCACGTTTCGGGAGCAGTCAGGAGAAGATGACAGCTCGCACGCTCGGAGCCGAAGCAGAAGCGTGCGAGCTGGGGACGCTGAGAAATGCCAGAGGTGCCTGCGGAGAAGGAACCTCATTGCTCGCTTCGATTCACCACTCTGCACTCTGCACTCTGCACTCTGCACTCTGCACTCTGCAGGTAAAGAGAGTACTGAAACTAAAAACCCTTCAGATTTGGGTTTCGGAATAAAAGGGTTTAGGGTTTAGGGTTTCAATTTAACAAAATTAAAAATTAAATCGTAATTAGTCACTCATTTTAGTATAACTTTATTATTATAAATGAAATTCTAATTAGTTAAATGTTATTTTAGTTTCTAAGTTTTATTATAATTAAATAATTATGATTTAGATATTTATGTAATAAAATAAATAATTAAGTTACTAGATAGAATGACTTATATATTCGAATCATATTATAAAATTGATATTCGATATTGTGTTTTATTTTAAGTATTTTTTTCATCTTTTAATTGTGAATTTTTCTATTTCTTTTATTTTTTTATTAACATAATTTAGATTACATAATATATTTTTTTATCAATTCATGGCCATGTAAACTCAATTCTAATTACACTATTAAAGTATATGAGCTCAATTTTAATTACATCATTAAAATTAGTTGGTGGTTGAGAAAGAAGTAAAGATTGTAAAAATAAGGGATTTTCATGGCAATTATTTCTATAATTCTTATTTTTTTTATTAAAAAATCAATTTTAAATACTCCTACCGATCCTTATTACTCACTTCATATCTTTTTAATTGTTAATTTTTTAAGTAAAATTTGTCTCAATTTAATTGTCATTTTTATAAATTAAATAATTAATTTATTGTCAATTATATTTTACATCTCATTCGACTTTTATTAATTTACACATTGATAATTAATATACATTTATTTGAGAGTCAAAATAAAAGATTATAATAGAAAACCTTAAAATTATTTTATGAAAAAACAAAAAAAAAAATATTAAATTTCTTGGTTTATTTCCACGTGTTGTTTGGTTGCAACTAACAAAAGGAGAAAAAATAGAAAAGTTAATTGTTTGTTTTCGGTGAAATTTAATTTTGAGAAAAGAATATACATAATTTTTTAAATAGGACTTAGAATTTTTTAAAATTGTGTATTTTATCTTATTGAAATCAATAGCTTATTGCTCTTTGTATACCGGAAGAATATTATGAATAAATCAAGTCGTTTGTAAACTCTATAAACCCTAATGGGCCCGATAACTTGATATAAATACTAATACTAGAGAGAGGAGAGACATTAAACCGAATAGGAACAACAAGAAGATTGAAGACTTCTCGATATAATTACACACAAGAGTTGAGTCGAGAAGTTCTCGACTCATTACAAAGACTTGCATAACTTGATATTATAGGCATTAACACTAATGGATCCTCTTATGGGTCTGTTTGTTAGTCTAAACCCATTAAAGATAGTATAAATAAAGATGACTAGCGACAAAAAAAATACGTTTCATAATTGTCAAGATTGATTAGCATTGATCTCTCCATCGCTGAAAACTAACTTGAGCATTAGAGTATTTTTTTGCAAGTACCCCACTTTCTCCTTGGACATGTATAAAGAAGATGAATGTATGAGAGAAGCAGTAAAATTACAGAAGTACCCTCGATCAGGTACACTTTTTAACTTGAGGATACGAGAAAAGTTAACATCATAATTTATAATGTTTAGGACTTTAAGAATTTCGAGAGAAAAAAAAGTAGGAAAAAGATGGATTTTACAAAAAAATATAAAATAGTAAGGGTTTGAAGAAAAAATTAAGATTAAAAAGTGAAAAAGATTAAATTTGAAAAAGAAATTGAAGAAGAAATAAATTGCACAAACATAAATTAATTAAGAATTTGGAGAAGGAATTAAGATTAAGAAGTAAAAAGATTAAATTTGACAAAGAATATATGGAGAGAAAAAGTTTGCAAATAAACTCAAATTATTGGAATTGAAATAATGGTTAAAAAAAAACGTTGATCCGTGAACATTGCTAGGACTTAAAATACGTAGAATGTTTCCAAATCCTAACCATGCTTGTTATAATGCTTATAAATATTTATAAGAAATAATTCCAAACTACCGATTACTATAACAGATTTTGATCGTGGATAACTTTTGTTTTTATCTCTACTATTATTTTTTAAGGTCTCAATTCTTCAAATTTTTAAATCTTTCATCACAAATCTTGTCATATCAAAATTAATTAAAAAATAATATTCAAACACTTAATCAAAATAATACAAAGAATATCATCTTTCAAAACTTAGTGGAAGTGGTCCTAAAAAACCAATTTTTAATAATATAAAAAAAAATGTTAGTGTTAACAAAAGTTCCCTAATATTTATCTTTAACTAAATAAGAAAAAGATAAATACTATATTTTTTTTAAAAAGAATTAATTCAATATCAGTATTGAATTTTATTCGATGAAACTTTGGTTTATTCTTCTTAAAAGACCATATTTTAATACTATCAAAATGCTATGATGTTAATAGAGTTTATTTCTCTTGAAAGACTATTTTTTGATAATATGAAAAAGTTTTGATTTTAACACATGTTTCTCTTTTCCGACATGATAAGGGTGGAAATAACATATCAAAATTTCTTATATTAAGCACCAAAATTCGTTAGACCAAAGTAGCTCAATACTCGTCGTGATTCTTACTCCATATTTTGCAACTTCAATCTATTGAATCATTTAATTATAATCGATTGAAGTATATAATACAACGTATTTATGATATTCTACAACTTTAATGGTTTGGAATTTCTAAACAATTAATTGGATATTGAAATTACCCAATTAGAAAAACAATGACACCCATACATACATATATGATATAGAATTTATTTATTCTCATATTTTTTCATTCAAATTAAATAATTTTATAATATTATTTCTTTTTCCTCTTTTTTATTTTTCTTATACAAAACAACTCAAATTTTCATTTTATTCCTCACCTATTTCTCTCTATTTATTTAAGAAAGGGAAGCATAATTGGTTCATTGTGAATATCATTCAATCACTCATTGGAGTGGAATACCTGAAATTCGCACAAGGTGTTTGCAAAGAGTCGTCCCTTTTGAAAAGGTTGCAAGTTGTTCTTCTTATAAAAAACCAAAAGATGAGATGCTATAATAAAGATTTATTTAAAAATAAGAGTGCTCATAGAATAGATACACCACTGAGATTTCTAATCCAACTGTAACTTCATTAAAGCATAAAAATGTCCCCCACCTTAGTAATCATGCACCGTTTTCATTTTGGTGGATAGGATCATTGATCAACCAATTTGAAACTATATAAATATATATATGCACTTGATTAATGAAAATAAAGAGGTGCAATTGCAATATAATAGACCATATACATTTTCTTTTTTCAGTGTGAAATGAGTGAACTAAAGCCATATCTAGCAATGTTTATAATACAATTGATGTATTCAGGGCTTACCCTGTTGTCCAAGGCTGCGTTTAACGGGGGAATGAATACATACGTGTTTATCTTTTATAGACAACTTACTGGAACCCTTATTCTGGTCCCTCTGGCCTTGATACTTGAAAGGTATATGTTTTTCTTTCCTAGTGTTTTCTCTTGATATGCCATATATATAACTGAAACTGACATGTATTTTTATTATATGGTCCAGAAAAAGAGCAGTGCCAGTGCCACTTTCATTTTGGACCTTCTGCAAGATTTTTGTGTTTTCATTTTTTGGGTATTATTATTCATTGTGATTTCTCATACTAAGACAGTGAAGCTTAGGTCCATATATAATGTTAATGTGTTGTTTTTCAGAGTGAGTCTGAGTTTAAATATACAAGCTATTGCCCTTGCTTACACGTCTGCCACGTTGGCCGCAGCAATTGTTAATTCCCTTCCCGCATCTACCTTCTTCTTTGCTGTGCTTCTCAGGTAATTATTTTTTACTTTTTAAGCCTTTTAGGTGATGGCCACTAACTGATCATATATTATCAGATAGAGTCTGTTTCAATCATAAATGGAAAATTTATGATTTGGTTTAATGATATTTTTCTCCATTGCTACTAAATAATACAATTAGTTAAAAGTTATTGGATTTTATTTTAAATGTTTTTTAATCAGTTGACACCAAAAGTTCAACTTAAAGGAGACCAAGAATAAAAAGTTATGACTTATTAAAGAAAATTTAAGTTTTCACATATGTAAACATAAAATTTATATATAATTAAAAAATTTATGGATAAAATATTAATTATATACATTGACGATATAAGGTAATTTTATATTGTGATCCAATTATAAATAGTTATACAAATCATGTATAATGTGTTTATTTTCTTTTACATTAAGTATCCTAAAAGTTATACTAAAATGGCATTTTAATGGACTGTTACCGATAATGTATAATCATTGAATCTATTATATTAATTACAAAAATGATATATGAAAAGTTTAATGAGCATGCATGGTGAGTGCAAAGTTTTTACATCAACAATTAATAAAAGAAAATCTTTAGTATGATAATTATTATAAAAATTAATAAATTTATTGTACATAATAATTATTGATTAAACATAAAGCAAGGTTTGGAGCATGCTAATTATAATTCAAACATGTACAAAAGGGTAGTATTTTTATGTATCATACTATTTGTTATATATTTTGTTTGATATTTCAAAAAGTTAAGCATTTATTTCAGTTAAATTTTAAAAAATAATTTAGTGTTTATTCTAAAATTGTACTATTTTGACTTTGGTTTGAGGTAATTTTAGAAACTCTATTTTCGTTATAAATACTAGTAGGAAAAATTATTGTTCATAATTGGAAAACAGTGGGTAGTTACATTCTTATTGATTTAATTTTTTATGTGCACAATTTTTCTGAATTTTATCTTTTAATCAATACATTTGTGAAAGAAAATTATAATATAATGAATAAACAGAAACGTTTGAAAAATAAAGAATTGGAAATCAAGAAGAAATATGCACTTTATGTATTGTTATATACTTATATTTCATATAATATTTTACGAGAGTTCTATCTCTCACATCTTTTATATTTATTAGTAGAGTCGAGACATTCGTGTTTCTATTAAAAAAATAATAATAATAAATATATGTTGATCTGATGTTATGATTAGTCCATTAATTTTAAGGTCTTGATTTTTATAAAAAAATATTTTATTTTTTTATTTTTTTAAAATAAAAGAGTATAATGATTAACAAATATGAAGATTAAGATGGTTATTAAAAGGAATATTCCTTTTATATATTAATATAGATATTTTAATTTTAAAAAATTATAGTTTTATTGTCTCCAAATTATTATTCGGAAGAATATATTATATTATATGTTGTATTATAGAGACTTGCACGTAAAGTAAATAAGTTCTTTAAGAATGTATTCAGTACTCACATATATCAAACTCTTGTGAGCATGCACAATGATATAGATTCGTAATAGATCATGATTGATAGTGATTCTCAACTGGACGGACGACACTCATCATTATTCCAATTTAGTTCCCCTTCAACTCTATTACAATAATTTAGTCATGAATTTTGTGGTTATTGGTTAACTAATGGCAAATATGATTCTCAATTGCTTATGGTATATATTGCAGAATGGAGAAGGTAAATATAAGGACGAAATCTGGAATTAAAAAGATAGCAAGTGTATTACTGTGCCTGCTTGGTGTAGCGACCCTAGCATTTTACAAGGGACCCCAGTTAAGGACTACGCATCACGTCTTATCCAGATACCACAATCACCAAAATCCACACCATCAAGATCATTTTTCATCTGGCAAAAGATGGATATTGGGTTCTTTACTCTTGTTCTTAAGCGTCATCATTTGGAGTTTTTGGCTTACAATTCAGGTAAGCCACTTATCGAAATATTTGTGTTATTCTAAATCATATAATTGGTATGAAATATTTATTCTCATGAATAATAGTTTGTTATGCTTTATTTTCTGTTGCGTATTTTACGCTTTCTGTTATTAGCTTTCTTTCTCTCTCCTTGTAATATATATGCACTGCTTTTATCACTTTTTGCAATAACAGAATGTGCATCATGCACAGTGTATTTTCTCTTTCCAATCTTACTTCATTTCTTGTCATGGTATCAAGAGTCTGACGATCATCGTTTTTTCATTTTCCATCTTCATCCTTCTCCTCTGGTTTTGCCATTCTGCAACCATGAGTGATGAAGTTGATCCCTCACTGAATATTCATAGTTTCTTGTTTTTGCATCCCAATGAAAACCCTGCTATGGCACTAGTTTCTCCATCACTTGATTCCACAAATTATCACTCCTGGAGCATATCCATGCTCACGACTCTCAATGCTAAAAACAAAGTCGAATTTGTGGATGGTAGTGCTCCACAACCACCTTCCTCTCACCGTATCTATAGTGCCTGGAAACGATGTAATAATATGGTGGTCTCCTAGCTTGTGCACTCTGTTTCTTCCTCAATAAGACAAAGCATTCTTTGGATGGATTCTGCAGAAGAGATTTGGCGTGATCTGAAATCATGTTATTCTCAGGGGGGATCTTCTCCGCAATTCTGCTTTACAACTCGAAGCTTCCTCAATCAAGCAAGGTGACTTATCTGTCATTGACTACTTTACTCAATTAAGGATTATATGGGATGAGCTTGAGAACTTTCGACCAGACCCGATTTGTGTATGCATTGTGAAATGTATATGCAAAGTTTCATCTATTCTCGCTCAACGGAAATTGGAGGATCAAGCCATGCAGTTTCTTAGAGGGCTCAATGATCAATACGCAAATGTTAGATCTCATGTTTTGTTAATGGATCCTTTACCCCCTATTAACAAAATTTTCTCCTATGTTGCACAATAGGAACGCCAATTTTCTGTTCCTGATTCCTTAGCTGACGTTAAAAATGGATTTGCTAATGCTACCATCATGAACTCTACGTGCAATTTTTGTGGTTGAAATGGTCATACTGAAAGCACATGTTACCGTAAGCATGGCTTCCTTGACAAAAATGGCAAGAGTAGCTCTAATCGTGGGAAAGCTTGCTCCCACTGCGAAAAGAATGGCCATACAGTAGATACATGTTATAAGAAACATGGCTTCCCTCCTGGCCATCGTTTCTCCAATAACAAATCTGCATCTTCTAATAGTGCTTTGACCATTGAGGCGACGACCAATGAGAAAGATCTTTCTGCTTCCATTGAGCACCAAGAGATTTGTTTCACTCCTCAACAATATCAAGCTTTCTTAGCCTTAATTCAGCAGCCATCCCAGGCTTCTTTTACTTCACACTCAGCTCGTATAAATCAAATTGGTTCTATTACTACTTCTTCTGCACACACATCTCAACCTTCTGGTAGTGTTCAGCCTCTTATTTGCACCACACACTTCTTCGATACTACTCCTTGGATCATTGATTCGGGAGCCACTAATCACGTTACTTGCTCACTTCAATTTTTCACCTCTTACAAACTTATTGAGCCTGTTATTGTCAATCTTCCCGATGGTCATAAGGTTACAACAACACACTCTGCCACAATTTATTTTTCTTCCAATTTTCAGCTCACCGATGTGTTATATATATCTTCATTTGCCTATAATCTAATCTATGTTTCTAAGCTAGTTTCAACTACTTCCTATCAAATTACCTTCACTAATAATGTTTGCTTCATACAGGATACCAGAACCAAGATGAAGATTGGTTCAGTTGATGTGCAGGGTGGTCTCTATCAGCTTATACCTCATCATTTCAAACCTCATTTTATACATTCTACCATAATTCACCTAAAATGTGATGTAATCCCAATCGATTTGTGGCATTTTCGCCTTAGACATCTGTTTGATACTCGTCTTCATAATATGCAACAGTTATATCCATGTTTGACCATAAATAAAGATTTTACTTGCAACACTTGTCATTATGCCAAACAACGTAAACTTTCATTTTCATTCAGTCATTCTACTACATCACGTCCTTTTTCTCTTTTACATATGGATATATGGGGACCCTACTCCATACCTTCCATACATGGTCATAAATTCTTTCTCACCATTGTAGATGACAACACTCGTTTCACATGGATTTTCTTAATGATTAATAAATCTGAAACCCGCATGCACATTTCTAATTTCATTAATCTAATTGAAAATCAATTTAATACTCGAATTCAAACAATTTGAACAAACAATGGTGCTGAGTTTTTAATGCAGAATTTTTTTAATTCTAAAGGGATTGTTCATCAAACCACTTGCATTGAAACTCCGCAGCAAAATGGAGTCGTTGAGCGCAAACATCAACATTTGTTGAATGTTACTCGTGCTCTTCTTTTTCATTCAAAATTACCCTCTTGTTTTTGGAGTTATGCATTATTACATGCCACTTACTTAATTAACCGCATCACTACACCTCTACTTGATAATAAAACTCATTTTCAAAAACTTTATGGTCAAACTTGTGATATCACTGAATTGAGAGTATTTGGATGCTTATGCTACGTGTCTACTTCCACTGCCAATCGAAAGAAACTAGACCCCAGAGCTCACCCTTGTGTCTTTCTAGGCTTTTCACCTACTACCAAAGGCTACATCACCTATGACCTTCATACTGGAGTCATTACAATTTCACGTAATGTGTCCTTTTATGAAAATCATTTTCCATTGTTGCAATCCACATCATTTGCATCCAATATTCCCACCGTTTCACCCATTTCTTTTGGCCTTCATTCTCCTTCTCATGACTTGATTTTTGTTTTACCCGATCCTCTCCAACACAATGTCACTTCTTCAAATCCTGTCACAACATCACATGATTCCATTCCTTTAGCTCCAGACTCTACTACTGCAAATTCTCTTCAACCAAATTCTTCTCCATTGCGTCGTTCAACTAGACTCCGCAACCCGCCCTCTTACTTGCAAGATTATCACCACTCTCTCACATCAACTTCTACCAATCTTCATCCAGGTATACTTTATCCCATTGAGAAATATATTTCTTATTCCCGTCTTTCTAATGATTTTCAAGCATTTGTGTCTTCCATTTCTGCTGTTTTCGAACCTCACTCGTACGCTGAAGCTGCCAAGCATGACTATTGGCTTAAGGCAATGCAAGCTAAATTAGAGGCATTGAAAATGAATCACACTTGGACTCTCACTCCACTACCACCTCACAAGCAAGCTGTTGGGTGTCGCTGGATATACAAAATCAAGTATAATGCAGATGGTATCATTGAGCGGTACAAAGCGAGACTTGTTGCGAAAGGTTACACACAAGTGGAAGGCTTAGATTACCTTGCTACTTTTTCCCCAGTTGCCAAGCTTACCACAGTCCGACTCCTTGTTGCCCTTGCAGGTATTTTTGATTGGCATCTCAAGCAATTAGATGTGAATAATGCATTTCTTCATGGAGACTTGAATGAAGAAGTTTACATGAGTCTTCCTCCCGGCATGTGTCCAGCATATTCCAACCAAGTGTGCAAATTGCAACCAAGTGTGCAAACCCTATGGCCTGAAACAAGCTAGTCGACAGTGGTTTGCAAAATTATCTTCTTTTCTTATTCAACATGGCTATCATCAATCTGCATCGGATCATTCCTTGTTTCTAAAATTTTCTGGTTCATCTACTATAGCCTTCCTCATTTACGTGGATGATATTGTTTTAGCTGGCAACAATCTTTCTGAAATTCAACTTATTACTGGTCTTCTTGATGCTGCCTTCAAGATTAAGGATCTGGGCAATCTTAAATATTTTTTGGGGCTTGAAGTTGCTCGCAACAAGTCTGGCATTCACCTCTCTCAGTGCAAATATGTTATGGGTATTTTGTCTGATTGCGGAATGATGGCCTCTCGTCCTGTTTCCACGCTTATGGATTACACTTCACGCCTCTCTGCATCCTCTGGCACTCCCCTTATAGATCCTTCGTCATATCGTAGATTACTTGGACGCCTCATTTATCTTACCACAACTCGCCCAAATATTTCATATGTTGTCCATCATCTAAGTCAATTCATGTCTTCTCCATCCACTGCTCACTCACAAGCCATTTTTCGCATTTTACGTTACTTGAAGCAAGCACCCGGATCAGGCCTATTTTTCCCAACCAACAGCTCTCTCCATCTCAAAGCTTTTAGTGACTCCGATTGGGCAGGATGTCTTGATACTCGCCGCTCTATCACAGGATTTCCCGTTTATCTTGGTGATTCTCTCATCTCATGGCATTCCAAGAAACAACCCACTATTTCTCGTAGTTCATCTGAAGCTGAATACCAGGCTCTCGCCACCACAACTTGTGAGCTTCAATGGCTCACTTATCTCCTCAATGATCTGCATGTTTCTGCTCACCAACCAGCTCTTCTTTACTGTGGTAATCAGTCTGCTTTGCATATCGCAGCCAATCAAGTATTCCATGAACATACTAAACACATTGATATTGATTGTCATCTAGTTCGAGAGAAACTTCAATTTGGTCTGCTTAAATTACTTCCTGTTGCTTCTCCACACCAGCTTGCCGACAGCTTCACCAAGTCTCTCTCCCCTTCAAGCTTCACAGCTTTATGTTCCAAGCTGCGAATGTTGAATCTTTATTCCCAGCTTGAGGGGGGGTCTCACGAATAATAGTTTGTTATGCTTTATTTTTTGTTGCCTATTTTACGCTTTCTGTTATTAGCTTTCTTTCTCTCTCCTTGTAATATACATGCACTGCTTTTGTCACTTTTTGCAATAACAGAATGTGTATCATGCACAGTATATTTTCTCTTGCCAATCTTACTTCATTTCTTGTCATTTATTAATTATATTAATGACTAATTTTTATTAAAAAATTTGATATATCTCCTAAATCTTTTCTCTTTTCTCTCGACTATTTTGTTTTCTATTTACAAAATTCGGATCCTAAATCTTAAATAAAAATACTAAATCTAATTTCATTGAAATCAAGCACTTGTTAGTTGTGTTATTCTAACTTATGCTATGGTCTACAATGATGGAAACATTGATGTTAGTTTGTGAATTCTCTCTGCTCTTTGGCATTTATCTTGTGTTTGGATGGTATTATAAATGGTTTGTATATTGTATACACGCACACACACGGCTTAGTTGATGAATTGATTTATGACTGTACTCACACTTATCCAAAAAAGAACAGGCTCAAATTCTTAAAAGCTACCCTGCAAAACTAAAGTTCACGAGCCTTCAGTGCCTATCAAGTTCAATTCAGTCATTTGGTATTGCTATAGCTTTTGAAAGAGATATTCAGCAGTGGAAGTTGGGTTGGAACATGAGACTACTCGCAGTTGTTTACTGTGTAAGTATCAAAGTGATGCTATATTATGCTGCCTGATATTTTTCCAATTTTAACAGGATGAAAGTTATAGTGCTGTGCCTTGTCACAAATTCACATTGGTGAAAAAATACCTGGTAACTTAGTGTGCCTGATCACCAAAGTTCTTTTGGCTATTTAATTTGATTACGTTCGTTCTTACTTTATACCCTGATATTTTACAAAACAAATGGTTTGTTAATGTTACAAAAGAAATAGATTTTGATTCATCACTGTTCCGGTATGAGAGACCGCCGCCGAAGAACCCTTGGCGGATACAACCAACCAACACAAAGAACCCCTATCTATGTATCTATCCACCCGCCTTTCTAATCAAAACCAAAATTCAAACTTTTTAATAACATTCAAAATTCCACCAGAAAGAAAATAGAGAGAAACATTACATGCAAAGCTCTGACTAGAAGAGGCCTTTTCTTCAAGATTTCCCTAAACAATTTTTTAGCCTTGCTCAATTGCCCCATAGTCTCGTAACAAAGTGCCAGCAAAAGCCTCCACTCAACCTCGTTGGGCTCCACAGCAATCAAATCCTCCACAAATTTCACAGCCTCCTTGGACTTCCCTCTCCTAATCTTCCCATACAAGACCACCTTAAGAGCCTCAACATTTTTCGGATCCTTCTCCAAAACCTGCTCCCACATTTCCTCCTCCTCGCTTTTCTCTTCGGAAAGCTTCATCTTCTCCTCCAACACTGCGCCAGAACCCACCGAAGGCGTTGCTTCCGCAAAAGCTGCTCTTTTTCCGAAGCAACCCAAGAAGAGAAACGACCCAATGAGGAAAAATGCGACCTTTTCTGAGAGGAACTTGGATAAAGTCCTTCCCGGTGAAAAATCCGAAGAGGGCGTTGAAGGGGTGTGGGAACAAGTGAGCGTTGAGAAAAGGGTGGCGCGAACTGTGGCTGGCTGAAACGAAATTGATGTGCGCTTGTTGCGGGTGTGAATCAGTGGCTGCGGAAGCAGATTGATGAACTTGGGTTGGGATTTCGAGTAGACGGAGAAAGTAGTTATTGAAGTTGAAGCCATGTCGTTGATGTTCTCGCCGGGAAAATACTCTCCGGTGGTCGGCGGAGTTTGTGATGAACACACAGTATCTTTTATCCCGCTCCTTTCCTTTTCTAACAAAAACAATAACATTATTAACTTAAATTATATTTTTAATATCTCAAATTTACAATGAATTTATTTTTAGTTTTCAAATTTAAAATTCATCTTAAAAAAATCTTATTTATATTACGTAATTTAAATTTTTAATTTTTAACTTAAGAGGTTAAAAATAATTTTTTATTTTTTTATACATAACATTATGTTTGATTAGTAAGAAATATGCAAGGAATAGAAATGATGACTCAAAAATAGGTGAAGAAAAATAATGTGTATCTTTTAGTTAAACATATTTTTGTCCATAAGGAAATTAAAAGAGGTGCGTCTCGTAATGGAGAAGAAATAAGAAAGAAAGAACATAAGAATACATGTGAGACACTTTTATCTTCGTGATACAGCAGAAACTCTTTAAATTAATATTTGGTAAATTAATAAATTCTCTAAAATAATAAATTTTGTCTGGTCCCGACTTGGGCCAATGTAAAAAATTGAAAAACTCGATAAAATAATAAGATAATAATTTTTCGGGAGATCCCTTTATAATTTTTTGTCCTAAGAAAATGATAAATTAATAATTCATAGAAACTGAACAAAAATATTACACTCTATTGAAATATGATTCAATAGTTGTCTGTTTTCCTTTAAAGTTCAAGTTTAATATATTACACATTTGTTCCTCTTGTTTACATTTATTGTACTTTAAAAGGCATTATTGATTTCTAATGTATAGTATAATTACTTAAAAATTCTTTAAATTAATAATTATTAATTTATCAATAAATTAATAACTCTCTAAATTAATAAATTTTTCCGGTCCTGACATTATTAATTTAAAGAGTTTCTATACTATAATGTTTTTTTTATCCATTCAAATACTCCTCCTAAAACTTCTCTCATTCAAATAAGTAAGGTTTTTTGTTTGATTTGGGTTTGAAACCGATGGATATGGACCACCAAAATTGATTAAATCATTTGCTTAATTGATTAGCATTTTTTTAATCAAGTATGATCATCGATTATGCACGAGAGTATATAGATGTTGATGTGTATTCCAAATTTCAAATCACTCATTTTATTATTCAATTGATTGTTGTTGTATTCGAATAAGAGAGAATGTTATTCAATTAAAGGGGACTATTTTCAAATATTAATACATGTTATTCGAATGTGTTATTAGATTTTATTCAAATAGAAAGGTTGTTAATGGAAAGAAATAAGGTTTTAATACAAATAATTTTATGTATATTCAACTGGTTTATGTATACATTAAATAGACGTTGTTATTCATTTAGTTTAATGCAATTTTTTTTTTCTTCTTGGAAGTTGTTTTATTCAAAAAAAAATTGAAAGTTTATTTGAATAAACAACATTTTAGTAACTTATTTATTTAGTTGTATTCAAATAGCATGTATGTTATTTGACTACAAATAAATAAATAAGTTTGATTTATTTGTATGAATATTTAATTTAATTGAGTAAAAGAAGAAGAAAAAAATTAAGTTGGAAGTTGAAGAACTTACTCAGGCCCGAGATAAAGCGTTAGACGCAGCGTCAAGACTGGAAGCCGAGGTGGAGTCCCAAAAGAAAGAAGTTGAGAAGAATGCGTCTCTTCTTCAAGCAGCCCAGATGGACGCGATGAGTAAGTTTGTGCAGGGGTTTGATGCCGCGATCACACAAGTGAAAATCATTCACGACGGAATTGATGTGACGGGTGTAGGGTATTTCAAGGAGGTGGTGGATGGAAAACTCGTCGATCCGCCCGAGGAGGATTGATCACGGAACTTATTCATGTTGATGTTGTTGTGTGGGACTATGTTTATGTATTATTCGCGTGTTGCTAAAAATCTTCGTGGTGTTGTTTTGACATTTTGCAATGCGCTGTGAAGTCGTGTTTATGCTTTCCAACTATCTATCTATGTGTATGAAAAGAAAGTTGTAAGTATTGTTACTTGTGGGACTTGATTGATAGCTTCGGCATGCTCTCATTCGATTCGCATGAAATTAGGTCGATTGTGTGTAGGAATCACGAGTGGACTAAAGGCCTTGACTTTAACGCGTTTAACGGGCGTAAGCTATATGTTAGAAAATGTGAGCGCTTTCGCCTAGGTAGGATGCTAAGCCGACCTTGAAGCTTGCGCCAAGGTGTAGCTTGTAGAAAACCGATCGTGTAGATTGTAGTTATGCCGACCCTAAAGCGTTTTTTACGCTAAGGTGTGGCTCCTTTATAATTTTTTGTCCTAAGAAAATGATAAATTAATAATTCATAGAAACTGAACAAAAATATTACACTCTATTGAAATATGATTCAATAGTTGTCTGTTTTCCTTTAAAGTTCAAGTTTAATATATTACACATTTGTTCCTCTTGTTTACATTTATTGTACTTTAAAAGGCATTATTGATTTCTAATGTATAGTATAATTACTTAAAAATTCTTTAAATTAATAATTATTAATTTATCAATAAATTAATAACTCTCTAAATTAATAAATTTTTCCGGTCCTGACATTATTAATTTAAAGAGTTTCTATACTATAATGTTTTTTTTATCCATTCAAATACTCCTCCTAAAACTTCTCTCATTCAAATAAGTAAGGTTTTTTGTTTGATTTGGGTTTGAAACCGATGGATATGGACCACCAAAATTGATTAAATCATTTGCTTAATTGATTAGCATTTTTTTAATCAAGTATGATCATCGATTATGCACGAGAGTATATAGATGTTGATGTGTATTCCAAATTTCAAATCACTCATTTTATTATTCAATTGATTGTTGTTGTATTCGAATAAGAGAGAATGTTATTCAATTAAAGGGGACTATTTTCAAATATTAATACATGTTATTCGAATGTGTTATTAGATTTTATTCAAATAGAAAGGTTGTTAATGGAAAGAAATAAGGTTTTAATACAAATAATTTTATGTATATTCAACTGGTTTATGTATACATTAAATAGACGTTGTTATTCATTTAGTTTAATGCAATTTTTTTTTTCTTCTTGGAAGTTGTTTTATTCAAAAAAAAATTGAAAGTTTATTTGAATAAACAACATTTTAGTAACTTATTTATTTAGTTGTATTCAAATAGCATGTATGTTATTTGACTACAAATAAATAAATAAGTTTGATTTATTTGTATGAATATTTAATTTAATTGAGTAAAAGAAGAAGAAAAAAATTCTTGATACTACTTTGTAAACTTGAAAGGATAAAATTGTAATCTTTTTAATTATAATTTTTTTTTCTCTTTATCTATTTAAATCAAACAACTCTATAATATTATTTTTATTATATTTCTTATATATTTATCATAAATTAAAAAAACTTATTTTCACCTTATTTTTTATTTTTTATTTCTATTTTTCTCTTATTTCTATCCTCAGAATAAACCAATTTAAAAAAATAATAAAACTATAGTTAAACTTTTTTTTTTATTAGTTTAGAAAGGTAGAAACAAAATTGGGACATACTTTGCACTACAATCCTTTACAAATATTAATTTTGTTAATTATTTTTTAGACGTATAATCATATCTAATTTCAAAATTTTCTCTCTCTTTTTTTTTTTATCCATTAGCAATCTAAAATTTTATATCTTCTACTTCAATCTTTTCACCTTATCAATTCTAGTGGTTTGTCTCTCTATATTAACAAATATTTTTAAAATAAAAATAAATAAATGATAAACAGTTACAAAAGTTAAATATAAGAAAGTACTTAATAATAAATTGGAGTAATTTTTAAATAATTAATTAGAAAATATAATGAAATCAAATAAAAAAGTGCTTAAAAGTTATTTAAAAAAACAAGATGGTCAACAAAATTATACACACAAAAAGTTGTATTATTTTTATTAATAATTAACA